CCAGCACTCCACCTGCCAATGTATGGCTGGCTGGGGAATTCTGGGAGTTGAAGTCCACTCATCTTAAAGTGGCCAAGTTTGGACAACACTGCCTTAGGGAGAGGGGGTCCCACAAGTAACCTGGCCCTGTGCCATGTAGGGCTTTAAAGGTGATAACCAGCACCTTGAATTGCATCCAGAAAGCAATCAGAAACCAGTACAGCTCACACAGCAGTAGTGTTACACTATAGGTAGTCCTCAACTTATGATCATTTGTTCAGCAACCGTTCAAAGTTATGACGGCGCTGAACAAATGGTGGTTACGACCGGTCCTTGGAGTTCCAGCCGTCCCAGCTGCAGGGTACTCAAAACTGTACATGCTATTGCATTCTGGACCAGTTGCAGATTTTGGATGGTCTTCAAGGGCAACCCCATGTAGAGTGCATTGCAGTAATCCAAATGGGAGGTGTCTAAGGCATGGGTGACTGTGAACATTTTTGTGCAAATAAAGCATTGGGTACTGGAAATAAGTATGGAACTTGAGCCTCATCCCTTTAACTCTCAGCTGTTGCTGTGCAATCATCCAGGGCTGGCTCTGAATAACCAAATAACTTCCCTTTTTCCTATTTAATCCTCTTCCAGGTGGCCTCTCACACCTCCTGATGGATTTCAGATTCCTCTCTCCATCCCATGATGATCTGCTATTGCCACATTCTAAGGATCTGAGATCCAAATGCTTGTCTCATTTTTCAGTCTGCAGAAAACTGGCTGATCCTCAAGAACTAAGCTGAGCTTGCCAGCAAGAGTAGAATAAGAAGAGAAGGAAAGGTTCTGTTTATTGTTTTATTGTTGAAATACATATTTACCTAGAAGCCTACGTAGAAAGCAGCTTTAAAGAACACAGAATGTTATTGTACGTGCTTCCTTAATTTTTAAAACTTATGTTCTATGGATTAATATATGGAATTTGCTGTCACATCCCTTTTTAATGATCTCCAGTCATGTGGTTTATGTCCAAGAAAACAAGCTAATTTATATCTTAGCTATAAACAAGCTAGATGCCAACTGTTCATTGTGCAGATAAGGAAGATTGATGCTGTTGGAATTTACTGCAGAAGTATCATATTTCCATAGCTAAATATTAATTCGAACAAGTATTATCATCACAGTATTGCAGGTGTGTGGAGATATATATATATATATACGCACACACCCCACACATAAAGCAATGACATAGGGTAGCGATTAGACCCCTCCTCCACTGGTGGACTCTGGGGATCAGAAAGTGCTAGCAGGGACTTCAGAAGGAGCAAACAAGAACATCATGAAGACAGCAGGCTTTCTGCTCCTGGCCCTGATGCTATTCTTTTATATGGGTGAGTGCCATGTCATAATTGCAAAGATTCCTTTCCAAAGGAAATGGACTTATTCCATCATGCATTCCTCAGAAAGGAACACATTAGCCTGCAGGCATTCTAAAAGCCTCTGCATCAGAAACAGTTCTGTGGTTCAGGGATTCAGGGGAAGGATGATAATGAATTCCAAAGTGTACCAAGTGGAATTTATCCTCTTGCATGAAGACTCACACATTGCTAGTTGCTGACATAGGAATATCTCCAGATAATGAGGTAAATCTATGGGCAAAAAGCTTTCATATGCTAACATCATGATGTGCACTTTATTAATGGCTGCTGTCAGGATGCAAAGTTGCATGAAGTTTCAAAACTTGCATGAAGTTTCAGATATCTAGGGAAGGAAGCTTGAAGACCTTAAAAACATGGATTTTGAATACATTCTGAAGAAAAAATATTTGTTTACATTAAGTTCTCAACTTAATTGATCATTTTTGTTGCAAATGTTATTCAGTGATATTGAAAATAATGTACATATAGTGGTATCTGGATGTAGGTTCCTTTTGAGAAAATAAAGGGGAAGTGAAATAAAATGCATGATTGTTTATATAATCAAAGAAATGTTCTCCAGTCAACTATTTTTCAACATCAGCTTTGAATTTAATGCTTTTATACTACTGCTGTTTGGTTCTAGATTTTGTTACTGAAGCAAATGAAGAAAAGGTAAGTTCAGCTGTGTCTTTTTAATACATTATTAAATCCATATGATTGTAGTTGAAAATTACAATTAGTGCTTTTTCCAGAGCAAAGAAAAATAAAAAGCAAATCTAGGTATGAAAATCAATTGCAATGTGATTTGTGACAGATTTACATGGTGCAGATGTAAAACTCTAGTTCTAATTGTTTTCGGCTTCTAAGCCAAGAAATGGCTTGGCTACTTAAATAATGCACAGTCAGAAATAAACATGGTTCAAAATCTAAATTATTATTATTCTGCCAGAGTGATGCATGGAAGATAATCACTGCTGCTGAGATGAGTCACCTACATTCTTCAATTTGTTTATAAATAATCTGGAGTTAGGGGTGAACCATGAAGACCAAAATTCATCCAAAATACCAAGCTGTTCAGAGTAATAAAATTGAAAAGGGATTGCAAAGAGCTCAAGAAGATCTTTCCAAACTGAAATAATAGGTGTCAAAATGGCAAACACAGTTCAGTGTAAGCAAGTACAAAGATATATACATGTACACACACACATCTACATGAGTGCAGAACCCTAATCTGCACAGACACGTCTGTGGAATCTGAGTTGGCAGTGACTGATTAAGAAAGGAGTCAACCCAATCTGCAATTTCTATACTTGGAAGCATTAGAAAGGGGACTGAAAATAATGCAGCCAATTAGTAACATGTTTATATGAACCTATGGTAAGATCACTGGAAAAGGAAATCATGAATCTGAAAAGTGTAAGAGGAAAATAATCCCATTATTAAGGAGAGTGGCACAGTTCTCCAGGAACAAAATATCTGGTACTTGGGTTTTGTTTTGTTTTTTTAAGCTTGGCACAAAACAAGGTAACAGAAGACAAGTGTATAAAATCATAAATATTACGGTATATGTGGGTGGAGAGAAGTTTTTTTCCATTTCCTACAATATTAGAACTTCCATTACAACTAAATTCAGGCCCAATAAAAGGAAGTACTTCTTACATATATTTGAACAATGGCACTCACTACCATCAGAAATGGCGATGGCCAATTTTGATTATTTTAAAAGGGACTGGACAATTTTTTGCTCTATTTATGGCATCCGCAGCTGAAATGAAGGGGCTGTTGGATGCCTTTAAGAAAGAACGGCCTGGAGGTCACAACTGAGGAAAAAATGTAACAGAGGCGCAAGGCTGCAATAACATGGCCACAATGACCATCTCGACTTTCGATGCGCACACCCCCCCGCATACCCCAGCTATAACTTCACTGTTCTTAGGCCTTTAACATTTGTTCATTTTGGATGTTCTGAGATCAGGATTTCAAACCTTCCAATCTGAACAGGCTCTCATTATTTACTGAAAGTTGAGAGCTCCGATGATAAAAGAGTTTATAAATCTAGTGGATATAAGCTACAGGTCTACACGAGATTACTTTTACATCTGCTACACCTTCACTGGAGCAGATAGCATGGTTTAGATCAGTGTTCCTCAATCTTGGCAACTTTAAGATGAGTGGACCTCAATTCTCAGAACTCCCATGCTGGCTGGGGAATTCTAGGAGTTGAAGTCCACTCATTTTAAAGTTGCCAAGATTGAAAAATGCTGGTTTAGACTATTCCAGTTTTGTGCCAACTTTACTGGAATAAGTTAATGGACTGAGGAAATGAGAAGCATTGCTTTGTCTCAGATGAATCTGTCCCATAATCTGGCTATGTCTTAAATCCCTGCTTTACATTCTTCGTATGAAAACTGTCTATACAAGGATAGGACCTTAGAGCCTTCTCAATTATCTCTTTAATGATATTCCACAGGAGAGTTTCCTTGCTCCCACATTATTAAGATTTAAGCAGAAAATAAAGTCACTATTATTACTGTGAGTTTGGGGATGAGGTTTGTTGCCCAAGGATAAGTATCTAATTTTGGCTACCTTGTATTGTCTTAAATATGGCTTGGATCCAGCCTATGTTAGTTTAACTTTAGTTCTTTTGCAATTGGTAGAACAAGATAATAATGGCTGACCTAAGACCTTCTATGCTTAAAGTATGATTAGGTCTGGATTCAGTTTTATATATTATTTATGTTAGAAGTGATGGATCTGAGGCCTTCAGGCATTATTGGATGGGCTACAACTGCCAGCTGCCCCAGCCAGCATAGCCAATGGTGAGGGAGGATGGGAGTTGTAGGCTTCTGGTTTCCACCTCTGATTTAGAGTAAAACTCAGCTATCTGTCTGATTGGCTTCAGTCTAGCCAGTTGTGAAGGACCATTTATTGTGTCTGGAAGAATGAGAGCACATACACAGCTACCTAACTTACTATTAATGAAATTCAGTTTAATGAGATTCAAGTATACACCTCTACCTAAGTTGTTACGGACCTCTTAACCGCTTGGCAAAATGATACAGGCTCCAGCCTTATCAAGTAGTGACACGTGTCCCTCAACAAAGGAATATTTTGCTGACGGAGCAAGTAAATCCAACCAACCATGTTTCTATGTAATCCATTGTATAACAATTAAGCACTTATTATCATCTCAATCCTAAGGGATAAAAGATTTGAAAAATATGTTGTTGCTTTCTGCAGATTCCTTGTAGTCGTCAGATACAAAACCATTGTACTCTGGAGTATAAACCACACTGTGGTTCTGATGGTTTCACCTATGCCAACAGGTGTTTGTTCTGCAATGCAGTTGTGTGAGTATAACTTTCATGCTTTGGAGAGTGAAAAACAAGTGATCCCCAAAGCTATTTTGTACTTTGCTCTCAGCATGTAGGCAATTTAAAATTCTTGCATTTGATCTCTGTACCATCCTGCTTCTGACTCAGGATTTTCTAACAGAAATGAACATTGGAACTTGGAGAAAGGGGATGTTTTGTTAAGTGGAGTGGCTAACAGGAGATGCTGAATTCATTGCCAACTTCAAGAGACCTTACTTTGGGAGTCAATCCTACTTATGCTTTGTCTCTTTTTAGTTCATCTAATAATGAGTAATTTTGCATCTTCTGAATTTTCACACCCCATTTTGCTTTTGTCTTATCAGGAAGAGTCGTGGAGTGCTTAAACTAAAGCACCACGGAACATGTGGGCATATTGCAGAACTGTACAAAAATTAAGAATATACATCCACTAGAAAAACAACTACCATCCCAACTCATTTGGTCTCTTGCTCACCACATCATCATAAAGAATGCCATTTTTCTTTGCTTTTTCTCTAGTTTGTCTGAGTATTTCTTGTAACATGGAACATTTTAATTGTCTGTTTTAGTAAAGAAATAAGCAGCATGATCTTTTTTTTAAAATTCTGCATTCAGTATATATCATATATCATATGCACATAGGAGTTCTCTATATGTATATATACATGCAATTTAGATGCATTCATATATATCACTTATGTACAATAGTAAAGAATCAATCCTTTATTTATCAACCGTTTTCTTCCCCTCCTTTTAGATACTGAACATATACATAGTGATGAGGTAAAGCTCGTGCTGGACTGCACTATCTGATACTGTGGGTGGGATCCAGAGTCCACTGGAGTTGGGTGGCCAATACATGTAAATAAATAAATAAATATTTAGAACATCAGTCTGAGTTTGGCACAGATGGACTGAGGTTAACAGCCTGAACTCGTCTTCCTATGATGCTCCATTTCAAAGGTTTTCCTCTCATGGGAAACATTTAATGTTATTCAATCAGCAGCAACCAGACACAGCAAGAGTCACATCACATTATTGTGCTGATGATATAATTTGCTTAACATTTTATTAGATTTGGAACATTTTTAAAAACATCTCATTACTTGGCACCTAAGCCATAAAATGATTCTAAGGCCAGAAGTTCATTTGATGGCAGTAGCTGTCTTCAACATGTCTCTTCCACTCATGTAAAAAGAAACAATGAGGAAGGTCCAGTTTAAAATTAATAGGAAATAAAACACTCAAGGAGCAAATGAACAGCTGCACAGCTTCTGTTACTTCACTAAAAGTTTATCTATGTACCTGAGAAAGGACAACTAGGAAAACTTTCATACATACAGGTGAAACTCGAAAAATTAAAATATCATGCAAATGTTCATTTATGTCAGTAAGGCAACTCAAAAGGTGAAACCAATATATGAGATAGATGCATTACATGCAAAGCGAGGTATGTCAAGCCTTACG